AAGAGAATAATTAGCGATACAGGGAGAGAAGCGGAGAGGAGAGTGAACAGGCGTGTTAGCGGCAGACAGGGAGAGACAAATAATTACACATGGCGCTCTCCAAGAAGAGGAAAGTGGACAGTGAGAACAGAGTGGACTCGTTCATGTTCACCCTGCCCACTGGGAGCACAGAACCAGTGTGTCTCATTTGTTCAGAGACCGTGGCGCTCATTAAAAGTGCCAAAACGCCACTATGAGACAGAACACAAAGTGTTTGACCAAACATTCCCTCTCAAGTCAGAACTGAGGTCACACAAAATAAGCAGTCTCAGAGCCCAATATGATCAGTCCACCAGGATCAAAATTAAAACTAAATATCGTTCCGGGGCAGGCTAACCGAGGCTAACCAATGAGCACCTGTGTGTGTGTATGAGAATGGCCCTGACACCATTTCAGCCCAGATTTAAACTCCTGGCAGGACAAGCTCGAGCTCAATTCTCGCACTGAATTAAAAAAAGTGAGTAAGGGACTGCAATATAAGAGGGAAAGAAAGAGAAACTTTAAAACTGTTCAATTGTTATGAATGATATTGTTCTATAATCGTCAGAAACTGTTAAGTCATGATGTGAAACGGTTAACAAAGAAAAAGGGAAACTCAAGCTGCTGCTACACTTTATTTTATTTATCTAAAATTAAGCACTTTTAAGATGCACACATTTTCAAAAGCTGTTTTATTTATTTTCTCTATTTTATTTTTAAATGCAGCCCGAGAGGAACATTACACATATCCACAGTATTTACTGTATATCTGTATAGTTCAATGTTAATAGACAATAAATATTGTTGTTTTTGAATTTTGCTTTCTTTATTTGATTGGCAGTCAGTTGTTGATGACATGCAGACGTTGATAAAGCTACTTCAATATATATCACACTAATTCATAAAGCAACTTAGACATTTTGATGTTCCGGACCTTTGCATGGGGACATTTTCTCTACCTGGACCTCGTTGAATTTTAGTTGAATACCCCTGCTCTAGATGATAGGAAAGGAGATGTCAAACTTCCTTTATAACCTCCTTTAGCTTAGGAACCACTGGANAAAAAGTACACAGTAAAAGTAGTTCATAGTATTTGTGCAACAAGTTTATGAAGCAATAAGTCCTACAATTATTCTCATAAATTACCCTGTTCCTCAATCGCAAATAATAGAAATGAACCACATGCCATCCTTTACTTTGAAATCCAGCTTCCCAGAGTTGTTTATTGCATTACCGTAAACCTGTAACTAATCGCGCACTCAAAATACAGGGGCGGCTGGTTTGACCACGCAAAAGTGAAAGACGGCTGGCTTGACCGCAGTAAACCAGTGGTGAGGTTCATTTACTGAAGTACTTTGAATGTTCTTTATCTGAGTATTTCAGAATCCCTTTATCCATCGCACAGCGGGAAATGTACTTTTGCAGTAAGATTTTGAATGCAGCACTTTGACTTGTGATTGAGTAATTTCCCAATGTATTACTGCTACTTTCACTGAAGTAAAGGATCTGAGTAGGCTACTCACTTCCTGTTGACTCTGCTGAACTGAAGCTACAGTAACCGATATTTTACCCTCAACTGCTGAGTGAGCACTTACTGCAGATATTAACTCCAGATCTTGGATGAACGTCAAACACGTGTGGAGGCTCAGTCTCAAAAAGTTTCCCCAGAAAGTAGCTCGTAAAGATTCAGCAGCAGTCATGCAGTAATTGTAGGTTGCACACTGAAACACAGCTTTATTTCCACAGCTTGACGTCAGTCGGTCAGCGCCAGCCGCAGATAGAAAACATGGAGGACACTTGGAGACACAATAATCAGAGATACTCCAGGAAGGATACAGACATGTGTGCATGGGCGTCACTTTGTTAGAAAAAGTGGTGGGGGCAATTTCTCCTGATTTAACATCAGCATAGCAGAAGAGAAAATATGTCCTTCCCCTGGGTGTTGAACATTGAGCACCTTCATGATAAACCAACACATAGATCTCTGGACCACCGATGTGTTTTTAAAACAATGAACGCCCAACTATACGTGTTGCTGTGATGTGATTTTGAGTGAATGTGTACCTTTGTGCACACAACGAGCACACATGTATGGAGGACATGACATAAGTAACACATAAATAAATGCATAAATACAGGAATAACATTTTTTATAAATGTGAAGAAAAAAAAATACAGGAATAGATAAACACAAGGAGAAACATTTAAATATTTATTCATGTTTGTGCGCGATTCAGAGGGACGTGAATCTGATCATTCTTATTATTTATGAAATAGATTAAATAAAATAATAATATAAAACAGAAAAACTGACTTGAACAAATATATATAAAGATATTTAATATGAAAAAAATTGTTTTAATAAAACTAGTGATAAAAAACAAGAATTAAATACATTACTTTTTAGAAACATTAAGCTAATATAAAACTTGAAAAAAATATTGCATTATAAAATGTTTTGCAACAAAAAAGAAATGAAACAGTTGGTAAATGCATGGGGACAAAGATGTTCTGATTGCTGCTTTAAACACAGTAAAGGCACTAAATACAAATATGGAACATGAGCAGAATATGGCCTCTTTAATAAAGTTTACAGTTACAAAAAACATAATTTCTGATACACTGTTTCTTTAACTTATGTAAAAGTAGCTAAACCAAAGTGTAAACATATTCTGTTACAAGTTAAAGTGTTGCATTCAAAAGTCTAACAAGAGTACCACTGTTAACAGGGGGACACATGGTTCAAAAAGAAATAGCAGACCAGTTGCTCAGAGATGTGTGTGTGTGTGTGTGTGTGTGTGTGTGTGTGTGTGTGTGTGTGTGTGTGTGTGTGTGTGTGTGTGTTGTGAGACTGAAGGCATATTGGCTTTCTGGATGTTTACACATGCCAGGCCGACGTAATGCATTCCTCTCTTCCACTTCTGTCCCCGTCAGGAGGAGCTTTTACAGAGCGCCGAAAGATGGGACGGTTACTTCAAAAATGTAATCCTAATCTGAGCATCACAATATAAGAAACCAAGATATTTAGGATAAAAAAATGTGTCCTCTGCTCAGAGATTTTATTAATAGGAAAACCTGCCTTTCATTAAGTATATCCAGGCAACAGCCATACATCAGCAATGAAACACATGAACACATTCCACAGTAGAAGCAGAGGGGTTAGGGTTAACCCTAACCCGAAGCAGAAATACAATCTGAGTTGACAGAAAATGCTCCGTTTTACACAGTTAAGCTCACACACACTATGTTATGAGCATAGGTTCTCCTACTCAATTAAAAACAGAACAAATGAACCAAAGAAAGTGAAAACCATGAAGCAGATTCAGGCAGTAGGAATATAGATTCACACTTAAAGTGTTAGCCTACAGGACAGTACATCTACAAAAAGAAAATAACATCTGATCCTTTTACAACAAACACTATATGCTCTTTTTAGTGTTTTACTAACATTGTGATCCTGCTGGTGATACACAATGTCTATAAATGTAACAGTAATCTGATTACTTCTTTTATTATGTCTCCGACATCATGCTACAGAAAGTCTGTCTGGAGCAAAGCCAGAGAAGGAACCTGAAGTAACCCAGACATCCAGCAGGGCGGAGGCCCTTGGCGTGGAGGAGATGCTGCCTTCAATTGATGTGGGAAATTAAAACTACCACAGGAAAAACAAACCTGAATGCATCAATAATAATAATCCAGCAATGTAATATACATGATTCTGAAGTAGTTTTACTTTTGGTACTGTTGGTACATTTAACACACTTATTAAAAGTAACATTTAATTTATGAAAGAATATAAATACTAATAAAAGGGGATTTTAAAATGAAATGAAAATAAAATATACACAATTATTTTGTTCAAAAAACTATATTTTGTCAACCCATCCCCTTCAATATACAACAAAGTTTTAAGTTCCTATAATTGAGTTGTTGGCCCAGTTTCCATTGTAGACATACAGAGATTGTTTTAGTTCACTCTGACAGCCGATGAAACAGGAGAACCGCTCACACTCCTGAATGTTGTTTTTGAGCAATCATTTGTGCATCTTCACTCATGCTGTTGTAATAAACATCTTTTACATAATTTGTTTTATATATTATATATTTTGTATACAATGTGCACATTTAAACTTTAAATTATTATTGTTGTATAGATATACTTATACTTTATTTTATTTCATTCCATTTTTTTATAAATAATTATAATGAAATATTGTATTTATAAATTGATTTTAAAAGCTACTTAAAGACACTTTATAACTTCATGTAAACATTCTGAAATAAATTATAAAAACATTTACATTTTATTTTATCCATTATACCCCTAGGAAATTCTTATCCTGATGCTTCTGATTTTTACGAGGCACACGTGAACGCATCATGGGATTGTAGACTTCAAACTACTTTTATTAATAATACTAATAATAATAATACTAATAACTATAACAACAATTATTATTATTAATGTTTTAAAGCACTTTTTAGAGGTCTTCAAACTTTTATTTAATTGTATCTTTTAATTTATGTTATTATGTATTTAATGTTATCCAATATCTTTATTCTTCTGATTTTTCCAAGGCACACCTGAACACAACACGGGATTGTAGCCTTACCTTCTGATTGTTGTATAAATACTTTTTACATTTTTATTTGTATAGAGAGCGATTTAGAGGTCTTCAAACTTTTAATGTATTCTATCTTTTATTATTATTTTAATTTTACTATTATTTTAGTTGTATTATGTTATTTGATATTATGTTATTTTATTATTTATTGATTTTATTTATCATGTATTTGATTATATGTTATTATTTGTATTTGGTTATTTTTTCATTTTATGTTATTATTATTTGTATTATTTTTGCATAATTGTATGTTATAATTTATTTGATCTTCTGTTATCCAAGCATACCCCTTGGGAATTCTTGTCCTTCTGTTTTTTCGGAGGCACACGTGAACGCAGCACGGGATTGTAGGCTGCTTTGAAGCTGGCGGGTTGGGCCAGACTGGGTGAATCTACAGACCTACCGACCGACCGACCGACAGAAAGAAAGAAAGCGGGGAGAAAAGTCCAGGCGCAAACCCACGGCGTTAATCTGCGCAAACACAACCGCAAAGCTGCGCAAAGTGTGATAAGAGAACTTCTTCGTTTTGATTTATTCGGATACATCCCGCTACCTCTCGGCGTGCCACTCTTTATCTCGCACTAACCCAATGTGGGAGAGTGATTTGAGTTGACAAGCTACTGTATCCCCCCCACCCCTCCTCTCCACACAACCAGGAAATCGTCGAGGTGTGCTTTCTCTAACACCGCTCCTGCTGCCCCGTCTGCGGGGGTAGATGCGCCCTTTTCCCCTCGATTTCTTTTTTATTTGGGACTTTTTTTGTACTGAAGAGCCGGGCTTCTGCTCTGAAGTCGGACAAACTTGAGGAGAGGAGCTCCACTCTGGCCGAACAATGAGGTGGGTAAAACGGTTCAGATCCCCTTCATCTGCATTGTGTTGCTACATTTTGTGTTTTTCGGCCACCGGGTTTCCACAAAGGCCACCGCTGATCGTTTCTGACCCCATGCCACCTCTTTGTGCGGGTTTAAACGCCAGGGAAGAGCAAGTAGTTTCCACATTAAACAGATAATAAGTGGGTGGTGTGGTTAAACTACATGGACGCTGTGTAGCAAGTTTGTGTGACCTTTGCTGCCGCAGAACTTGACTTTAGTGTATCAGAAAGTATCTCCGCAGGCTCCTTCTGTTCATGTGTGCTTTCTTCTGGGAACATTATTCCCAGGCTGGGGTTGTTAAGCCGGTCAGATAACGAAAACAAAGTTTGTATCGGTTTCAAACACTCCATGTTTTGTGATGGCAGCTTTAGTGCTCACCTAAACCTCTATCATGCAAACAGTGGTATTAAGTAACTAAGTACTTACTTTTTGGAGGTACTTGTACTTGAGTATTTCCATTTTATACTACTTTGTACTTCTACTCTACTACAATTCAGATGTACATGTTGTACTATTATTCCCCTTCTTTTATGTGTACCTTAAGTTACTTTGCAGATATATATTAATGATAAACAATAAGCTCAACAACTTAAAAAATACTTCTGATACATCTTGATTCAATTCACAGTTGAAATAAGTTCCACCTTTACCAGTTTGATAAACACATCATTACCTAAACTTTTGGTACTTTAAGTATATTTAGATGCCAATACTTTTGTACTTTTACTTGAGTAACATTTTGGTCGCATTGCTTTTACTTGTAGCAGAGTATTTATACTTCAAGGTTTGAGTACTTCTCCCACCTCTGCAAGGAGGATATAAGTGTATTCACAACAGTTTATAGGAGCATGTGAAAGGGGTTCAGTGTGCATGGTGGAGCCCCTCTATAAAAGGGGCTCCTTCAGCAGCACAATGCCCCAAATACACTTTCTGTTTATATCATGTCATGCATTCCCTAGCCGGACATTAAACACACTATTTAGCTCCCTCTGGGAACACAGACACCAAGCTGCTCAGTGGGAAAAGCTCAACAAATTCCACATCCTGTTACAGCCTGTGCAGTGGGCAATTACATGCTTTGAAGCCTGGGCCCTCTTTGCCTTTTCCCTCACTTCTTCACATTTAAAACACGCCACTTATGTCAGGGAGCAGCTTTTGTCATCTGAAACCCTGACAGATGCGGGTTAAATTCGACGAAGGGCTGATAACCTGTGAAACTAGTTCTTTATCTCAAACCTCCAGAGCTGTGTAACAATATACCTCCGCTTTGCACATGGGTTGTTTCCAGGGTTTGTATTTGTTTTGCACATAGTTCTGCACGGCAACTTTGATTAGAGCAGGAACAGGAGGCACTTGAGCTCCCCCTGAAATCCTGCCACAATCACAGTAATGCATTTAAAATGTCCTGCTGATGAGGCCATTAATTAAGTTAATGCAACGCTCAGCAAAGATTACTGCTACCATACTTAGCAGAACACACTGGCAGTTTAATGTGAGTGTTAGCTAGCAAAGCAACCCAAATATGGAGGAAGTAGGAGAACTGGGTTTCTTTGTTGTAGATATGCCTGCCGTGTTTATGCCAACCCCATGACAACACACTGATATCTATGATTCACCATTTTATTGTTATGATATAATACAATAAGCAAACCGCTTTATGGCTGCACAAAATGCTTCCCAACCATAAACCCCTGCAGGAAGTAGACACGCAGAGTAAGTAAAATGCTTTTTTGTTTACATTCAGTTATCATTATGCCCCTTTTTTAAAAGTGGTTTCTCCCAGCTGTTGATAAGTGACGTCCGTCTTGATAATCACAGGTCACACTTTATCTCGGTTCTGTGGTCTGACCCGTTGATGTCACCTCGTATAATAGGTAAAGACTGGAATGCGGCTCTGCTCATGTTCTTTGTTAATTGTCCCTGTGGTATGCGCATGTTGACATAGACGTGCATTCAGAAGTTCAACAATTTGACCCAGTTGAGAAAATTCTTCCCAAAGTTTAAGCTGCCTTTTAAAAAATATTTTACAGTCAGTGGAGTGATGCAGAAAGGAATCCTAAAACCTGGACATAACGTAGCATTCTACCACTTCCGGTTCAAGTAAAAGAAAAGCAACCTTTTGTTCAACAAGATAAAATTGGTGGGTAAATAATATAAAGATATAAGAAACTCCAAAATCCAATGGGGGAAATCCTGTTGACTTTAAGGGAGCACAACAAAAATACACCATCACTCTAGAGACATCCAGCAAATGCTCCCAAATGGAAATGAATGCTAACGACACTGTATCATCATATTCCAACTTTCTTTATGCTCTGGTTAGGTGGCACAGGAAGTGCACCATCTGCATAATGATTCATTGTTGTTGTCAGAGGTGACTCCAGTCTCCCACCATGACTCACTGACTGGGTCTCTGTGACTAAAAGCCCAGTATGCTGCTGCTGCTGCCTCAGGCTCGAGATGTAACGTGTGTGACGTGAGTAGACAGGTGTAGTGCATCTGCTTTCACAACCTCACAACTTCCCTGAGCTCATGTTAAAGCTGGACATGCCTGGAAGCGATGCCAAACTGGGCTACGCCGCTCCACTCGACTCCTCGCTGTAGCTTTTTATTGATCAGCATTAAAAGCAGGGAGGTGGCCTCCCCCTCCGACTCCTTTGTGTCTCGCCTGTAGCTTCTTTTCCCTTTCTGCGTTGGCAGTAACTGGAAAGGAATGCAGCTCTTACGGTGATCTTTGCAGCCGTTTTGCTGTCACATCCACTTCCTCTATCACAATGTTCTTGACCTCGTGTCCCAACAGGCTGCTAGTAACTGTAATTTAAGAAACTTAGCAGTATTGCTTTGTTCATGTCCATGTAAGGATAACAAGATGAAACTCACTGGGGCTGCGGTGGTTGCGCGTTCATGCCTTAGTGTTGTGTAATCTTCACTTTGTGTGATGTGTTAGATGCTGCGTGTTTCATGTCTCGACTTGTTCTTCTAATTCCTCTGAAAAGTGTTTCTTCTGTTTTCTTTTGAAGTCGGAAGTCAGTGGCAAAGCATTATCAGAGTTTACGCCTGCATGCATTCAATGAAACTAAATAATACAATTCTATCAAAGGACACTTAAGTGTGTAGGTACTAGTAGAGCTATTTGTTAAGGATTCACCTTATCTTGCAAACTGCATACTTGAAATGTCTGCACTTTTAATTTCGTTGTTCAACCAAACACCCCCTAAGACCCACACTAACCCTGCGCCCTAGAAGCAATAACAATTTGAGATAATTGGAAAGAGCTTGTGGGAGTTATTTTCTATAATCCATTTAGAATAATGGGTTTATCTCATGCATCATAAAGAGTTGCATGTTGATATGCCCTCCTAAAGACGGTGGAGTCGGTGTGACAGTGTGTCTAAATGATCCCTCCACACACTCCGTTATTAAACCAGTCTTGTGAGTTTGTCTCCCACATCACACCCAAACACTGCAGCCCCCTCCCCTGAACCAATTTACCCCTCCCACCCCTGATACTCATAAATAGGCCATTATGCCGCTTGGATTAGCCACAGAGGTTGCTCAGCATACAAAACCTACTGTTGTCTACTTGGCGGCAAATGCAGTTTTCTTATTTGTGGCTGGTGTTTTAGTTCTCTTATTGTGCTGTAATGGACTCTCTGGTTGGTGTGTTTTTTCTAGCTATCCTTTTTTTGTGTGGCTAAATTGGCTCCAAGCAACTTTAAATTCCAAAATATGCCCTATTTGGATAAACCAATCACATCTTGGTAATCTATTTTTTTAGGTTTTTGGCTTTAAATATGTTATTATTAAATAACAGTTGGTTCAAAAGCTTAAAATCAGTTTTCTAAAGGTTGTCAAAGCTTGCTATGTAATGGCAATCACACTCTAAGGGAGTACCAACACAAAACAAAGGCACTGTGAAAGAGCACTAGAGCAGGCCATTGTCCATTAAAGTGGAGCAGAAGAAATGGCTAAAGTGGCCAAATGAAGTTAAAGACACATCTACAAACCCTGTGGTGTCTCTGCATTAGAAAGACCGAGGGACATCATCCAGCTGATGGGGAGTCTGGGTATTACTCTGTAGTGAAACCTAAGATTGTTGTGGGCAGAAACGCTGTAGTGATGTATTGTATGGTCACACAGCTAATGGACACAAAGAGACATCAGGTTCATCTGAGGCCCGCTGCTTAATGGATGCCAGTTAGTATAAAAACAAATTCCTGCTGTCAGCCATCCTAAACATTTCTATCGGTTAGATCCAACCTCACTTATCAGGGATGATGGTGATTGCTGATACACAAAGGTTGCATCAGATAAAACTGTATAGGTTGCAGATGCCGCTTTCATTTTTCTGTTTGGCAACACTTCCACTCTGTGCTGTTGTTTAGAAAAAGGAGAACCTGTTTTTAAAAAGTTCTTCAGTCAAATAATCATTTTCTGCATGGATGACACTTTAGTGTTTTTTCTGGATCAGCGAAGCATTTCAAATAGTTTACAGAGACAGTTGTTGCTGCCCTTGAAGCTGCAGGAAGCAATGGCTTTCTCAATTTGTTTTTGGTTGTTAAACTGAAATGAGGTCTGTGGTTAACACGAGATTTTAACGTTTTGTTCTTCTCATGTGTCTAAATGAGACGACGAAGCATCATCACGCCCAACTTGAAACCTAGTTCCTTTATAGCCTAACGTTAGCTTTTTACTTCAAAAATCATAAAGTGGAGATTATCCTGCTGAACAAAACGTGTTAGTATCATAAACAGGTTTATTTCTTCAAAGTAATCCAATCGAAAAACCCCGTTGTGATTCTAACTTCCTTAATACTTCATCATTTTAACCCGTTCTCTCTAAGCGTCTACTCTATAAGAAGTTCATTTGGGGAATTGATGTTGTCGTCAATTGAGAGGACTGTTCTCTTGTTAAAGATGTGTTTGCTAAAATGGTTAATCCTCGATGCTCAGTCATGGGTGAACATTGGCCTGAATGTTACCTGTGCGGTTTTGTTTTGTTCAGTCAGTAACAGGGTTTACATAGCTGTGCCGCAAATTGATACGGTGTCTGCATGCTTGTGTAGTGCAAATAATCAGCCACCATTTCTCATTGACTGCAATTTCTCATGTTCGAAGAAAAACTAGTAGTCAAGATCTTCAAGAGCACTGAAACTCTTTTCTTTAAGTTTGTATACCATCGCAAACTTGGTGTTCTGCTTTTGAAGGTGTACAACATTATACAGCTATTATCAAAACGGCCAGTATCGGCAAAGGAGACTAACGTGGGGTCAAAGTCTGCACACTCAACGGAAAGCAGGAAATATGATTAGGTGTTGCCTTGTGTTATTTTCTGCTTTGTCTTTTGTTACCTCTGTGGAAACAAGTCTTGTTAAAGAAAGAGTGTGAAGTCAGGGGAGGTAAAAGGGGGGAGTTCTTGTTTAGTGAATTGGTCTTCCTCAGAAAAGTAGACCCGTCTCCTCCTTGTCTCGAGCCGAGGAGGATGTGCTCCAACCTGTAAAAGGAATTGAGCTCTGCGAGGAGGACAGAGGTGAGATGGTTCCAAATATGGGCATTAAGCTTGCCAGTAGTCCCCCCCTCTCTCACACACACACACACTCACACTCACACTCACACTCACACTCACACTCACACACACTCACACACTGCCTCTGAAGCAGGAAGGAATTCATCTCCACTCTTGAAGTGGTCACACAACAGAAAAAGAAAAAAAGTTCTTGGCCAAACCTCTTTTCCACTTTTTCCACAATGCGGGATAAACTATGCCGGGCAAGCGATGAGTCAGCGTTTAAAGAATGCTGAGAGGTTCTCTGAGTAGACGAGTCAAACAAAGATATTTAGAAGAGTATAGCTGACATGGTCGGGCTGTTTCTGTGTGATTTGACTCGAGTAACAGACGCAGAAAGCAGTAGCCTAAAGTGTGTGTGTGTGTGTGTGTGTGTGTGTGTGTGTGTGTGTGTGTGTGTGTGTGTGTGTGTGTGTGTGTGTGTGTGTGTGTGTGTGTGTGTGTGTGTGTGTTGCTAAGACCTGTGTGAAGAGAAATAGGCATGAAGGGAATGATAAAGACACGGGGAGCGAAGATAGCAGACGAATAACAGCTGATGGAGATTTCATTTTTGTCATAATAACCTCGTGATTTTTTATGTAGTCACTGACGTATTCTAAGAGTAATCAATACTTTAGTCTGTGTTTCATATTTGAAGAAAATACGCTAAAATGTTACCATGGGTTGTAAGAAAATATATTAGATTTTCATTCCTATGTTTTGGGATTATAAAAAACACTATTGATTTTATTTGATAGTTAATATTCAATGGTTTGATGCAGACAAAAGGTTGGGCTAGATTGTACATTATGACAGTTTTTCTTTATGGAATTGAAATATATAATCTTGTTACAGTATTGTAATAAATGTAATAAATCATAACATGAATTTAATTTGAAGGTTTTCGGCCAATGCACAAACTTATACTGAATAAAAGGGTATTTTCTTCTGGATTTTGTGCGTTTGTGCATCTATGGGACAGCTGGCTCCAACATCTAAACAGGAAGTACACCTTGCAGTTGGAAAGCTTTTCTCGCACGTACTTTACAGCTCTGATAGAAACAAACAGTTTCCTAAGATGTGTGTTGTGGACTCTGAGTCATGTGGGCCCGGCTGAACTTCACTAACAGCCGTTTACGTTGCCTGAGGGAGGATCGAGGATAGCGTAGTGTCAGGTGAGCGGGCCAGCGTCAACAAGCTATTGTGTGGACGTCCTAAGTCTGAATCAGAGGTCAAGTACTTCACCATGACCTCAGTGCAGATTGTGCAATAGACTATGAGTCCTAAAACCCTGAATTGTGTCCACTTCCTGTCCCCTGGTCTGGAGGTCAGTGGTTTTCTGAATGTGTTTTTGGCTGTTGGCCTGAAATAAGGTCTGTGGTTAACACAAGCTGAAGACATATTTAAAGTTTTGTTCTAGAGCAAAACACAAGTCAGTAAATAACCCAATGGTGAATTTAAAAACGGCGGTTGCTAACAAGTGTCTAAATGTCATCAGGCCCAACACTAGCCGCATTTAGCTTAGCGATGGTGACGGGAAGTCATGTGACCCTGCTGTAGTTCCTTTACAGCCTAACGTTAGCTTTTTACTTCAATAATCATAAAGTGGTGTAAGTATCATAAAGGCGTGTTCACATGGAGATATTCCATAGGATTGTTGTCCAGGGAAACGGGGAAATGCTGAATTCAGTGTCGGCCTGCAAAAATACGTCCTCACTGAACTATGATGCAGCCACATTTTCTTCAAACGGAAGTTCAGTCTCTCTCTTGCAACCAGTTAATCACCTGATGGCACATTTGATTTCACACGTAGCTTCTTTCACTTCCCTTTTTTCACTTGTGTCTGCACATTGCTTGTCTGTCTCGAACGTGACTTTCCCATGTGTGTCGTTTTTAACTTCGCTATGTGGTTGAAAGGGAATGTTTCCTTCTTTACTTATGAATGAGTTGTAGCTATTGACTTTTACTGTAAATATCCTGCATAACATATTTAAACCTTACAAAGGCTGAAGAAAATAAAATCAAGGTTCTTTATTTTGTGATCTTTTTTAAATGAATCTGATGGAGTAACTGCACGTTTTTGAACTGCAGTAAATATCTTTTTCAATGGTTCAAGTAGTATATAACAATGTTCTACCAACTATAAAGAGACATATAGGTGGTGTGTTTCTCATGATAATCTTCATCATGAAAAAAGACAGCTGCGGTCTGTATTTTTATCAAGCTGTGAAGGAGGAAGTGGTTTGGTTAGACTCAGACTCTATTTGGTGACTTATTGTTCTCTGTCTGGTTTTAAGCGTGAAGTATAACTGAAGGGGAAGCGTAGAAATTTGAAATGAATCATTGTTTGTTCATCTAAGGTGCAGCGCGGCCACCTATGGTTTACTCATTAGAAAGTAACACCTGTTTCTCACCTATGTTCACATTTGGCTCTGAATGTGTGTGAATCAAGTATCAAACCAACACGTATTGATGAGACCTAAAGCCGCGTGCATGCATTGCGCTAGATTTTGCACAACGCAGGTTTTAGTCTTACCGGCTGTCTTTCTTTTATCCTAAAAACAGAGAAAGACACTTATTCCTTGAGGCAAGACTGACTCAAAAAGCTTGAGCATCATTAAAAAATGATATTTGTCTGTAGTAGAGGGGGCCGAAAAGGCTTTCATAAAGTGGTATTATATGAATTCCTGGAGGAGAAAGAGAAGTCTCACGGATTAGGAGGGACAGTGATCCAGAAATGGACGCGGAGACAAATGGTATTACTCCTCTCAGTGTTTAGACATTACTGAGAACCTGCAGTGTCTCAGGGATGATGTCATGTGTGCTCAGTAAAGCAGTCTCATGATGATACTCAGGATGAATGTACTCCTATCCATTTCACTGTATGTGAGGACTTCTTATCCCTGCACCAAATATAAATATGGAATGCAGTAGGGGAGAGGTGGGACGAGAGACACAAGTCAAATGGGATGAAAGTAATATATACAAAAGTAACCCAGGACAAAAAGTAACACTGGACAAAAGACAAAAGTGAACTTGAACGCGGGTCGAAGGTAACTTAGGACAAAAGTTACGCAGGCCAAAGACAAAAGTAACACGGGACGACAGTAACACGGGACGACAGTAACACGGGACGACAGTAACACGGGGCGACAGTAACACGGGGCGACAGTTATGCGGCACAATAGAGAAAAATAATGCGGGACGAAAGCTAAATATTTGCCGGACAAATTACCAAAGTAACACGTGATAAAAGTATTGTTGGACGAAAGTAACCGGAGACAAAATGTGCAAATATTGTGGGACAAAAGGCAGACGTAACCCAGGAGGACAGCAGATGAAGGACGAAAGACAAAAGTGACGTGGGATAGTTCTCTCCGAGCCCATCTTTATCATGCCTAACCATGTCCGCATGTTCATCACGCAGAACTGACTGCAAGATATACGACGTTGTTTCGACAAACCAGAGAAGCTGTTTTTGATTGTAGGAATGAAATTCACACAAGCAGTACATCTTGTTGAATTAAGAGGTTGGTTTAGTTTGTTGTTTCATAATTATGATCATTTGACAGAACTATTCGTACTTTATTACATCCCAAGTTTCGCAATGTTGGAGTTTCAGGTCAGGTTTAACTGTCAGGAGTCAGTGTTTCTTCAGTCGCTCTTTATTAGCTCTGCTGCTAATGCGGTCACACTGTCCATGTAACAGAACTTAACAAACACATGTTTCATATTGAACAAATGGAATTGGAGAAAGAGGTTAACAAAGACTGAGAGAAGTCGGGTTGACCTGCAGTAGAGCATATGTTTTTCTCAGAGACACGTGTGTGAGAGGTGCTGTACAGGCAGAGGGGCCATTAATATCCTAATGTCTGGCTAAGATAAGTGATGTGCTTGCAAAGACAAATAAACAAGGACAGGACAGCTCATAACATTGTGTTACAATCGTCCCGACTAACAGGTTTAAAATAACAATGCTCAACTTCTATTCAAACCTAAATTGTACCAAATGTGTTCTAGATTTGACCAAACAGCTCCTGGTTTTCACAGAACAGACATAAGAGTGGACGATGACAATGAAAAACTGTTTCTATCTGTAACCTTTTTATCTTCTTAATCGACTGAAAAGTGTTTATTTTGTCTCGACTCTCGTGAATGCCACAGAAGAGACATATCTTGACAGACCTTGGTTATATGTTTGAGGAACTAGTGGGGGAAGGGGGGAGGAGCAGCGCTGTGGGAGGGTCAGGTGAAGAGAGGAGGAGGAGGAGGAGACGGAGCCACTGGGCCTGACTGTACTTGCCAACTCATTTGGGGGAAAGTTCCCAGAGCAAAGCCTTATACAGACATTTCCAAGAGAGCATGAGCCCCTGCGGTTTCCTGTTAACCCCTCGCTGACCAAGAAACCACAAAGAGAGGAGGAACTCACTGCCTGTCTTGAAAACCTTGTTCCCGTTTTTAGCCAAAGCACATTTTGAATATCATCACGGTGATCACTTCCTGTTGTCAAGCTATTCGCTGGAGGTATTTGGGGGCTGAGATCCCTCCACAAAGCATCAGGCCGTGACCCCTTTGTGCTTAAGAGAAAAACACTCACCCTGACTAAGTGAGCAACACACCCAGAGGCCCGATTTGGAAAAAGTAACTTGTTGCAATTATTTTCTGAAATGTGGGAGGATTGATTATTTTTGGCATCATTGGATAGTATATTAAAATGATCATGGTGTGGTTTTAGAGGATCTGTAACAAACAAATATGTCCAATAAATACCAATTGAGGCGATTCATGCAGGGGGGGGGGGTGTGAGAGAAACTCAGGGGTTTTAGCCTTTAAATAGCACTTACATCAGGGGTGTCAAACTCAATTTGATCACGGACCACATTCGCATAAAAGTAAAGCGGCATGTAACCGTATAATAAACGTATTATATTCTTTGCAAGCTCTTGTGGGGCTACATAAAATTAAGTCACAGGCCGGATTTGGCCCCCGGGCCTTGAGTTTGTATATAGCACACCACAGGAAAGGGAATCCCCCCCCCCCCCCCCCCCNCCCCCCGCCAAATCATAATACGCCTCTTTAATATCTGTCCAGTCATCCCAGCTGTGAGTTCCTGCAGTTGTTACCCCCGGGTCGGCAGCTGTTGTCAGATGACAGGTGTGAGGCTCCCTCTCGGTGTGTTTCTGCCACTCGTGCTTTTAGCATCTCTGTGTCCGTAGTTCTATCAATAATTAATGTACTCACTCTCAGTCGCACTCCTGAGCCCTTCGCTTTCTCTCACATTAAATATGCATCTGTTTCCCAGTCCGAAGCCTCCGTCCCCTCCCAGTTCCCATCAGCAGCAGAAGGCTTGATGCAGATCAGAGAGTGCTGCAGTATTTATACATCCCGAGTTCACCTGCCTAAGTGACAGACGGGCATTGAGCCTATTGGTTTTAGTCCACTGTTGATTATTTCAAGGTGCCTTCTCTTCCTTGTAAAAATCCTTTCTCCCACTGTTGTAAAAATAATGATTTAGCATCCTATGGATTGCCTTTCATTTAAAGTGGACCTATTATGCTATATTGGAAACATATATTGTAGGGCCATACCTATACAAAACATGTCTGTGAAGTTTTTTGCTTAAAAT